AGATTGTCTAAATGGTATTAGACATAGCAAAAGATTGCTGCAACATTCATGAGTGCTTATGAACTAGTTTTGAGCATTGGAACAAACCCGCGCTTGCTGGAATCAACTTATGGAATGTGATAAAAAGGGTCATCGCAAGACGATAATATCATATAGTCTTAAAACCCAGATACATGGTTTGTTATTTGTTAATTGATTGTACATTGATAATGCGAAAACGCATCAGTAACTCGGTGTATTAAAAGGTATTGTTGTGTATAATTGATTAATGAATAAGTAAATGCATATAAGTCGAAGTTTATATGTAACTTTTATCCTAAGAGGATAAAAGCGATATCTCGACCGCTCGATGATTTGATTTGACTTATGTGCCGGGCCCGGTCAGAACTGAGTTGACGTGTTCGATTAAGTTCTATGTCAAATAAATCGGAGATCGAGAAACCAAATGCTAGACTAATTATTCCATAGAATTGTAAGCATGATATCTAACAGAGGATTGTAGGATCCCTTATCTAAAGGAAAAGATTGATTAGATCAGAGTTTGACAGCGTCTTTGAGAGCTACGATTGCAAATCAGATTGTACTTGTGCATATAGTTACTAGACTTATCCAAGTAGGAGACTGTTGGAATAGTGTTTAAGGCTGCAACTATATTAGGTAAGTATTTGACCCGATTGTGCATGGTCCTTTTGGGTTGCCTTCACCATAGCAACTTGATAGGATGATTTATTATGAGAGAATAGATATTATTAATATATTATGAGAATAATATAAGAAATAATAATATTGTTATTTGATTAATATAAGTCATAGATTAGTTAGTATTAATTTGGTGACTTAAAGAGATTAATTAAATAAGAGGGTATAAACTGTCAATTGTTTGATAGTTATACTTTGGGCTGTAAATCCTTAAGGGATAGGGTTTGGACGATTTCTAGGGCTAGGATAAGCCTCAAATTCGTCCAAGGCTTATCTAAGGTAAGGATTAGGATTGCTTAGGGTTTAAGTTATCCAATTAGGGTTTAAGGGTGAAACCCTAGGAGCCTTACAAGTATAAATAGATCCCTTGGGGAAGGGAAATCGGCATCTCTTCTAAAGTAAAGAAACCCTGGCCGATTTCTTCCTTAACCTCTCTCTCAAATGATTCTCCTTGCTAGTTGGTGTTTGTAAGCCATTAGAGGAGTGACATTTGTGACTCTAGAGTTCCAAGAACAAGAAGATCAAACAAGTGTTTCAAGGTAAGCTTCTAACTCTGATTTTGTATTGTTCTTATACCTTATTAGTCATTAGAAGTCTTGAATTCAATGCATGTTTAATTAGAGAAACCTAGACTCAAGCATTAGGGTTTGCATGTGCACATAGGAATGTTCATATGGCTAAAACCCATCAAGATGATCCTGAGGTGAAGATATACATTTATTGATTAACTTTAGATGAACTCAGGTAACTATTTTTCTTTCATTTTTTCTTCTTTTAAAGTTTTTGAAATATACAGATATGCATTTAGTTAAAATAACCAACGGTAGTATGGTATGTTTTGTTTTATTACTTATGACATATTTTAGACTTTTTTATCTCAACTATAGTCTTCGGTGGCATAATATGGTGCAAGAACTTGGAACCGACACTACATTGATCACTTTGGCAATGTCCTAGATCATGTATAAATTATAATCCAAAGAAAATTGAATTAGCCTGAATGGAGTATGTTAAACTTATGTAAAAATCGGAAGCGTACACTTGCAAGTACATTGCTATTACGGATATTCAAGTTTTAGCAACAATTCTAAAGATGGTTTTGGCAATGTTCGAGATCACTAGAAGTGCTTGCCTTCATCATAGAAAACCTTTTTTAATAGGTTTGAGTGAGAATTTTGTCGCAGAATGAAGAACAAATATTTTTAGACATGCTATAGGGGTTTCCTTAAAAGGGGAAAATAGGAGAAAAGAAATATATACTAGCTTTGAAAGGGACAAATCCGAAATACTCATAATTTGATCAAATTCATCAAGGAAAAACATGGAAAGTGGGAAGTTTAAAGTTTAAAAGCAAAGCATTGGATAAAGTTTAAATCTAGAATTTCAAGTTTGGATCTCAAGGGTAAATGTGGAAACTTAGTTTGTTTGTTTCTAAGCTTATTATGATGCAAAAATATAGAAGTTTTACTATCTATCATGTGTATCTCTTTTATTTTGACTTCGTCCATGGTTTGTTGAAAAGGTAATAACAAAGTTGTTAAATGAAAATTATAAGAAAAAATGGCAGCTTGCTTCATTTGTTTTTGACAACTGATATCAGCAAGTTTAGAAGCCTTCTTAAGGCATTTTTTGTAGTTCGCACTGTTGGTTGCAGCCTAAACTTCATATACCTTCAACAGAATAACATGGTGAAGTCAAAAACCAAAATTCATTTAAAGGAGCTAACAACATGGTGTTTTAAAGTGGCCATTTGTAACTTACTATAATTTATTTTTTATTTGTATTATTCTTTCGATAATCATAACAACCTACTTTATTTATAGCATGCTATTTTAATTTATTTTTATTAGAAAGTAGAAGTGTGTTTTGTGCACTACGCATGATTTTTGAAAGTAGGATGTTATAAGAAACAATTAATAAAGTATGCTGCCATTTATTGAACAAAACATGATTTATGAATATGCTCATATATTCACTTTGCAATTTGTGTGTATGTAATATGTATTTTAGGGAGTTTTGCGCTATGAGTATGCCCTTAAGTTGAAACTAGATTTGCCATGGGTTTTTCTTAGTAATAATATCATATAGTGTTTTTATATTTTATAGGAATTAACTATATTGTCGAGAAAGTTTAGCAAGCATAAACAGTAAATAAATAATCAACTAATTTGAAATATTTTATTATTTTATATTTTACTCCGTATAATTTATAAACAAATAAATAAATATTATTTTTATCAAAGAAAAATATAGATGAATATTATATTTAAGCTATTATTAATAAACTAGCAACAATTAAATTCGATCGTATTCTTTAATTAAAATATAATTTATATATGGTTGTGTTTTATCAAAGTATAAATTTCATAATGATGGATGGGTCTTAATTTAGGATGCCAAGTTTATAGGGTTTGAGCTCACCTGGACAACATCATCAAATTCTAATCTAATTACTTGGGTATGTATTGCACTTCACGCGAGATACATAAAAAGAAAATAAAAGATGTCAAATTCATTTTTATGGACTTATTGTAAATGGAAGGTGGGGCAAAAAAAAAAAAAAACAGAAAACAAATTGACAATACTGTTTTTGGCCTAATGCTTGTATTATACATTTGACGTAAAAAAAATGAATAGCCCCTATCATAAAAAAGGGAATAGTCCAACATTAAGCAATAGTTAAATTATTTTATCATTTTATGTAATAAATTATTTGCGAATGAATTATGTTTTCTTTATAATATGATATGTTTCATAAATAAACTATTAAAAAAACAACCTAACTGATGAACAAAAATTAACCACCCTACACATTTTTAACCTAGATTAACAACATTTATTTTTGCCAAACCAAAAATGTAAACGATATTTATTTATATAATGCATTGTGTTTATTTGGATTATAACATGTTTCTGAAAAGATATTTCCTACAAAAAACAACTTTTCACTATAACCACATTGCAAATCGTCGACATCTCTTCCGTCGAAGGAATCAATCTACAACAATATACTCTCCGAAGCCACCACTAACAACAATCTATCGATCTTAAAACCGTTTTCTAATTAAATTTAATCGTTTTCTAATTAAATTTCACTTCAAAAAAACCGAACATATTATAACCGAAATCAGTTTAATACAATGATTTCAAAAAATCGAAACTGATTCAAAATCGATATAAAAAACAAATCGTTTGTAGAAACTAATTTCTGAAAACATCATCCGCACCCGTCGCTTAGCGCGAGTAAACGGTTAGTATATATATATATATATATATATATATATATATATATATATATATATATATATATATATATATATATATATAATTTACCAAACGGTTTTAAATTTGTAAAAAAATATTTAGTTAAAATATATTTGAATTATTTATAATATCTTTTAAATAATATTAAAATAATAAATATGTTGTTGAGAAAATATTAAAACAAATGTAAATTGAATAATATAACTTTAAAAGTTATTTAAAGAATATAGTAGAAGTTATTTTAAAAAATATAGTACCACCACGTAATCACACAACAGTTTTTAATTTTTAAATCAGAAAACAATCGGATACAAAAAGCCAAATGTATGTACGTGTGTCTATATATATATATATATATATATATATATATATATATATATATATATATATATATATATATATATATATATATATATATATATATATATATATATATATATATAAAAGTAGTTAGAAGTTATTTTTCTGGAAAAACAAAAAATATATTGTGGGGGTGTTAGACTATTGGGTGTGGGTGCGGTCCAAGACTGCACTTCGTGCCACATAGGACAGGAACACCGCCCTGAGACCACGGTCTGGTGCGGTTTTGGCCGTAGTTCGGTCCTTCAAAACCGTGCATTTTGATTGGTTGAGAAAGGATTGAGGAGCATTTTCTTTCTTTCTTTTTTTTTTTTATTTTTTTTTATTTTTTTATTTCTTATATATACATATTCACTTAATTTTTTTTTCACAACACAATCTCCTTTATCTATCAATTTTTTTTTTAAAAAATCATCACTCTCTCAAAAATATCATCTTCATGTGTGTCGTTTTTTTTTAGTAACGCAATGTACTATTTTTTTTTAATTTTCAAGTAATGAAAAATTATGTTTTTTTTTAATTAAAATAGAAGTTATATTAAATTAAAATAGTTAAAAAAAATTTATTAAATTAAAATACTTAAAAAAACAAAAAAATAAAAGAAATGAAAAGTGTGGCATCACACCCTTAGTGTGACAAGAAACCACACTTGAGTGGTAAAAAATGACGTGATGTTTATGTGGTGGGGAGGAAGTACGGTTTCGGTGGCACCAACTAAAATAATAAATATATGTTTTTCTTTTTGTGTAATTTTGGAAATTTAGAAAGATCAGAATTAAACTAGGTTTAAACGTTAATTTCACGTCCGTTCGTCCAGAACCTTCTCTTCCTTTCTGGACGATTCCAACTTCCACGTGTATGGTAGTAATCTGTTTTCTCGTGAAGTCTCAACTGTCAACCCTCTTTTTACGCATATAGAGGCCAAGCGTGACAAGTTATTTGCGCCAGATTCATCGATTTTTCTATCGTATTGTTGATCTCTTGTTCTTTACGAAATTGTTGAGGTAAATTTTACCTGATTCATCCAAAAAAGTTTTATTTTTTTATTTTTTTTAATGATTTATCTATTTGTCCGTGTTTGTATGTTGATCGATGATTACAGATGATAGTTTGTTGTTTGATCTGATTGCAAATCAAGTTGCTTGTGGTTATATGATTCATGAATAGTTGGAATGATCAGACATGGTTTTGTTCTGTTATTGATTTTGGAGTTTGTTTAGACTGATAATAATATATGATCAGTCGGAAAGATATGGAATCCATATTATCATCCATTTTCCGGTGATTTTGATAATCGCATGAGTGGATTATGTATCTGTGTTATTGGTTTCTCATTTCGTTGAATTGTATTTTTCTAACTTTGAACTACGATAATGAATTACATCAATTTTCTTGCTAGAATTGTTATTAGTGTTCGTTCTTTCTTATCATGCTCTTGTGAACGCGGGTGATCCTCGTGGTACGAGTTTGTCCAAGTCAAACCTGTTTGCGATCTAGATATTGCCTGAATTATAACGGATTTTGAAGCTTAATGCTTAATCTGTATTTTGAATTGAAAATTTAGAATGAGTTGATATTCATATTATCTGATCATCTTCGTGTCATTGCTAATTCAGCTGTTTTTTTGTTCTTTAAAATCCAGATGTCGTACTCGAGGAGATCTAGGTATGTGTAATTGCGTACGTCTCTGTGGATTACATATGTTTCTTAATAAGGATTTTTTTTTAACAGAGGATTTGCTCTCTTTGGTGTTCAGGTACTCCCCTTCTCCTTCACCACCACACAAGCGCTATGGCAGGTCTCTGTCAAGGTCCAGATCAAGCTCAAGGAGTCGGTGAGTGTCCCTTGAAAATTGTAAAGTTTTGAATTGGTAGTTATTGAATTGAGTGATGTTCAGGAGCTATGATTATGAGCCAAGTGACATTGAAAACCCTGGAAACAATTTGTATGTAACTGGTTTATCCGCGCGTATCACTAAGAGAGATCTTGAGAAGCATTTCTCCGCAGAGGGAAAGGTATGATGGTTTGTAATAAATAATGTAAAATGTTGGAATTATTATAGAGTTAAAGAATTGTGAGTAATGAATGTTTAGGTGGAAGACGTTCACCTGGTGATGGATCCTTGGACTCGAGAATCTCGTGGATTTGGGTTTGTATCCATGTCTAACATCAAGGAAGCCGATCGATGCATCAAGTATCTTGACGGGTCTGTTCTTGAGGGCCGTGTCATCACAGTGGAGAAGGTAAATGTTTGTTTGAATCCATTCTCTAGAGATACATTGATGTTTTTAAAATTTTGTATTAACTAAACATGAAAGATGTTTGGTTGGTTTGTTTGTGGGTGGGTGGGTGTTTTGTTTTTGACAGAGTTTGGTGTATGTTGCAGCATAGCTTCTTGTTCATCTTCTTCATCAAAGTTCCAAACTAACAAGTCACAAGCAAATGCCAGACTATCAACCCAGAGGGTTGTCTCATTTCTTTGATTTTTACCAAAATATGAAACGCGTGTTGTGTTGGAGAAAGGAATTGTTGTAGTTTTGTGAGCTGATGGTTTTTGTATTGATATTGCAGGCGAGAAGGCGGAGAGGCAGAACACCAACTCCAGGAAGGTATCTTGGGCTAAGGAGTGCACGTCGGCGTCATCGATCCCCAACCTACTCTCCACCACGTTCGCGTAGGAGGAGGAGGAGCTATTCTCCTGGTTTCTCGTCTGATAGTGATGGGAGTAGGAGCAGGAGGAGGTCATATTCACCATATTATTACAGAAGGCGTGGGCGTGGAAGGTCCAGGTCCTACTCACAAGCTTCTAGAAGCAGCCCAGAAGATGGTTACTACAGGAGGGGTAGGGGTAGGGGTAGGGGGAGTGATCGTTATAGGTCTTACAGCCCAGATTATGACAGGAGGTATAGGAGCAGATCAAGGGACTCTTCTTCACCCGAGTATGAGTACAGCAGGAGGAGGAGTTATCGGTGTATATCTCCTCGGAGTGTGTCTTCTTCCCCAACAACAAGGAGGAGTAGGAGGAGGAGGAGTTGCTCTTCTAGCATGTCGCCGGTTAAGTCAAAGAGAAGCTATTCAAGTGTTTCTGTGAGTAGTAGATCTAGGAGCCCTGCTGCTGGCTATTCCATTTCCAGTAGGAGCAGCAGTCTCAGCTCTAGGTCCACTGCTTCTTCTGACTATACAAAACAAAATAAGAATATTCATTAACTTTTTTCTCTATGGACTCTGGCTATGCATGCTTATTGATTTACAACATACATGTACTGATTGTCACTTTTATTTCAAACAACTTTCTTTGCCTACCTACTTCTGTTTTGCTAAATGTGTTTGATTCATTAAATCATCCACTTTTTGCCTTTGGATGTGGTAGCAGATTAGTGTATGTTCCTGGTTGCTTTTGAGTTTTGACAAACCCTTCATCGACCTTGAGGAACAATAATTTTCATGTTTGTGCTTTAGCCCATAATATATAGCTCCCTTTTTCAGCTTGTAATAAACTTTATCTTCCTCACCAAAAAGTCTACAATCCATATGGCCATACCTCCACTTCTTGTTTATGAATCACAAATGCCATACTTCGCTCCGCATGTAGGAAGGACATTCGCTTTAATACTTGAAAAACTCCCTTGTGTTGTGTATAATGTATATAACAGGGAAAAACAATCCAAAGACCCGATTTGAGTTTGACAAAAAAAAAGAAAAACAGAAGAAGAGTGGTTTGGACTTGGTTAGATGATGTAGTAAAATATGATTATACAAGCTGCCTGCTACATCTTGTACAAGAGGAATGAAACCCATCACAAATTTGTATTATTATGATCAACCACAATACAAGATTTATACATACATACATATGTGTTGTGTGTATAGATTAATATATTTTTAATGAAATATACATTAAATAAAAGACCTGAAAATATATATCCTCTCTACATACAAAAAACCTTCTTTCTTTTTATACAATTTCAATATCAGCAATCATGCAGATTGAAATCTTTGGTTGGCGCTTTCTTCAATCCCAAAGAATTCAATTCTGTTCTTCCTGGCAGCCATTTGAGGTGGCACCTGTACAGAATGATTTGCAGCTTCCACGACCTCATTATATTCATGGTAATCCTTTCTGACTCTCCACAAGATCTCTGCACATCTTTTCATGGAAGGTCTTAATTGTCTGGTGGGGGCCAGACACTGTCTTGCCAGTTTCAGCACCTTCTCAACCACCATAAGAGCCGCCGGATTCCTCCTTAGCTTTGGATCCATTGCCAACACCACCTCCCCTCCTTTTAGTCTCTGCAACGCCTGCATTGCAACCAAACACATTTTTCCTTTCTTCATCAATAAAGAAAAAAGAATAAACACACATATATTTGTAATGTCAGAAAAACAAAAACTTACCCATTTTGTTGTCAACTTCTCATTGGGAGCTTTATTTATCTCAATCGGTAGTCTTCCAGTCACCATCTCCACAAGCAAAACCCCAAAGGAGTAAACATCACTCCTATCAGTAAGCTGATAAGTACTCAGATATTCAGGATCCAAATACCCTGCAGTTCCTTTCACTTGAGTTGATATATGAGTCGCTCCTGGATCTTCAACACTTATTCGTGCAAACCCAAAATCAGCCACTTTTGCACGTAGTTTATCCGTAATCAGTATATTAGATGATTTTATATCTCTGTGGATTATTGGTAGATCTGAAAAAAGAAAAACCAGTTTGTTAAACATTTCTTCATGTTTCATTAAAATGTTAAACAGAAAGATACCTGTATACGTATGCAAATATGTAATTGCATGAGCTACATCGATCATGATATCCAGACGTTCTCCAATTTCAAGCCCACTTCCACATTTACCTGAAAAGGATCGCTTCTATGCATATAAACATCACACACAAAGTGAAAATACGAAACTGCCCTTTTGAAGAAAGTAATGGCTTTACCATCTAAATGTTCACGAAGTGTACCATTGGCGACGTATTCTACCAAAATCATACGATCTTCTCCATGCTCTATATATCCATAGAATCTGACCAGATTTAGGTGTTCAATCTTCGATAATGTTTGTATTTCATTTCTGAACTCCACTGGTGTCCCTCTTTCAAAATTGTCCTGCCATAAGAATTAAGCAGCAGAAACTTCTTAATACTGAGACTAAATTTGCAAACAAGCATCCATCTCCCAAAGTAAATACATTGATCGATTAGTCACAAATTTATATCGATCTTTGTTATGGAGGCAGTGTTAGAGTTTATGCGAAAGAAAATCAACCTTTTTTGCACGCTTTACAGCAACGATGGATCCATTTTTCAAGGTTGCTTTATACACGATACCAAATCCTCCTTGTCCGATTATATTTGAGGCAGAGAAATTTCCAGTTGCCTTAGAAATATCTTCAAAGGATAACTCAGCTGTGCCCTGGGGTCCATCAGAGGCTTTGGAAGGTGTAGAGGAAGAAGAGTGGTTCAGCTTTCTGCTGTTTCTTAGAGAAGCTCGTGATGAATCTGCAGAAAAAAGTACAATCAATTCTCAATATACAACCAAAACAATTGTGTTGATCTCAAAAAGATCAATAGACAACTCGTTCGACTTTCAAAATCCATGAGCATAATCCAATTCATAAACTATAAAGGCTTCTCCGTAAACGACCAATAGGTGAAGTTTTTCTTATCATGAACTTGGTACGAGGTCCAATTTTCAATGATTTACTTTTAAGAAATGCGAAATTCGAAGGGAAACTTACATTGAATTGAAGGCGGCTGAGCATCATCTTCAACCACATGAGCTATATTGCCACGACATGTCAAAACCCTAGCTATGGCACCAAAAATAGAACTCTTTTCCTCTTGCACGGGTTGATTCCTGGGTAAGACATATATGGAACCGGAACCGGAATTTGAATTGGAATTGGAATTGGAAGTGGAACTAGAACTCTGATTCCAAACTTGTCCAGGGCCGGGGCGAATCACCGGAGATTTTCTTGTTTGATTCATATGCAAAACAGGCCCTGTTGGATTTTTGTGTAAAGACGTGTGTTCTTCTCAGGTTTCAATTATGTAAATATGTTGAAAAGTAGTAAAGAACGGATTTTGCATCGTTTACCAAAAAGATTAGTCCAATTAAATGTTTAGGAATGATTCTACTCGCGGATTAAAGAATATAATGGAGACCAAATCAAGCCATAAAAAGGTAAAATTAGTACCGACTTCCAGGGCTAATTCATATTTCTGGCTGGAGTATCTGATTAATAAATTTATAAGAGTTAAATATTCAGTCAGAAAATCCAAAATTAATAGGACAAAAAATAGGGGTTTAACTTTAACCCAAACAAAACGATTTTTTTTTTTTTTCATAAAAGAATAAAAGTAAGGTAGTTACTTAATATTTTGGTTTATCGTTTGACATAAAAGTCTAAGCTTTGTAAGTTTTATTGGTTTTTTTTTTTTCTTACAACGATTTTTTTGGTTCATTAATGTTAGAAGTTTGCAATTTTTTTTCGTTTAATTTTAATCTTTTATGTATTTTTGGTTCATTAAAAACCTTAAATTTGGCAAAAATGTTGGATTTTATTTTTGGTTTATTAAAGCCCTTAAGTTAAGATAAAACTGCAAATTTGGTCCTTGTGGTTTGCGAAAATCTTTGGATGGGGTCCAAAAAGTTTCCTGCTTGCACGAAAGGTCCAAAATCAAGGTTTTTCATTGTTTTTGGTCCAAAAAACTTGAAAAGTCGATTTTACCCTTTTTCATTTCTTTTTTCTATTTTCTTTATTTATTTCAGTATTTAAATAATTAAAAATAGAAAATAAAATAAACCCCACAACCCCTCCCTCCTCCTCCTCCTCCTCCTCCTCCTCATCTCTCTCTCTCTCTCTCTCTCTCTCTCTCTCTCTCTCTCTCTCTCTTACAGACACACACACAAATAGATATACATAGCATCTTCATAGACATACACACACAGTAGGGACCAATCTTACAGCAGCCTTTGCTGCTTCATTCTTCTCCTTCCTCCCGATTTGTACTGTTAAGCTTCTGCCAGCCTCCTCTTCGCCGGGAGAACACCTCCGACCATTGAAGCGTCTTCGATAGTAGCACCTCCGACAAAATTAGACCTACATGCAATCTCGTTGTTGTTTCCCCCCTTAATTGTTTCTGACATATTTCACGTAGTCCACTTCAAAATCTTTAGGGCTGTAAACGAACCAAACAAACACGAACAAGGCTTGTTCATGTTTGTTTGTTTAGGTTTAACCTAACTAACAAACGAACACGAACGCTTAAACAAACATGTTTTCTTGTTTGTGTTTGTTTGTTTAAAAATTACATTGTTTGTGTTTGTTTTTGTTTGTTTGTTAAGATGTTTTTCTAATTTTACCAACCTTCATTGTTTTTCTAATTTTCATCGTTTGTGCATTTAATAGTTAAGAATTATATGTTATTCTATGTTACTATATGATTGTGATTGACGATTCACACGGATTTAAATTTTAGTATACCTTATATATATATATATATATATATATATATATATATATATATATATATATATATATATATATTAACAACTATTAACGAATGTTCACGAACTTAAATAAACGAACGAGACCATTGTTCATGTTTGTTTGTTCAACTAAACAAACATAAAATTTTGTTTGTGTTCGTTTGTTTATTATATAAACAAACATAAACGAACATTTTACCGAACGAACTACGAACAGTTTGTCAAACGTTTGGTTCATTTACAGCCCTAAAAATCTTCAAGCCACCCGGTGATGGCTATGCAAGTTGTGCTGATATCGATCTCCATACCAAATGGATCTGAAGATAATAAGTTGATTATGTATGTAGAAATTGGGTCTGTGAAAGTGGTGTTGATATAGGTCTCCATATCAAACCATAAACCATCTCTTACCTGATTAATCGCTTCTGAAACCCCTAAGGATTTCTGCCAACAAACAGGGTATTAATGGTCAGAGAACAAAATCCCCTTGCTACAATCGAGATCCCCGAGGTGATTTGCGTTCAATCCCAAGGCCTATGAGAATAATTGGAAAAGTATACCTCCTATTTCATCACTTGATTTGATTACTTGATTTGAATGTCTCTTAAACCTCCAACAATTGCATCACTTGATTTTGTGTGATGTTTATGGTGATTGGCAGAAGATGTGAGGGATTTGGCGGATTCCAGCATCAATAAGGCCCTTCACACCAATTTTTGTTTGGTCGAAAACTTTAAGCGTCTATGGTCGATCTAGCTTGAGACTACTGAAGTATTGGTGACAACCATTTTTATGAAGACGATCTGTATATCTATTTGTGTGTGTCTCTGTGTGTGTGTGAGAGAGAGAGAGAGAGAGAGAGAGAGAGAGGAGGGAGGGGTTGTGGGGTTTATTTTATTTTCTATTTTTAATTATTTAAATACCAAAATAAATAAAGAAAATAGAAAAAATAAATGAAAAAGGGTAAAATTGACTTTTCAAGTTTTTTTTGACCAAAAATAATAAAAAAAAAACCTTGATTTTGGACTTGTGGTGCAAGCTGGAAACTTTTTGGATCCCATTCAAAGATTTTTGCAAACCACAAGGACCAAATTTATAGTTTTATCTTAACTTAATGGTGTTGCACCGGAGATCATAGAGAAAGAGACGGAAGCAAGCTGATGGTGTTAGAAAGCGAAAAAGAGTTGATGTTTTGTTGTTGAAACTTGTTGAAAGAAATCAAATTTAAATATCTTTGATGTTAGAGTTATGAAAATGGGTTCACCTATTCTATTATTTTACCATTTATGTCGCTGTATGTTTTTTTTTAGCCATTGATAAAAAAAAATCAAATGCTTAGATT